AAAATGACAACTGCCAGACATTAAGACCCAGTAATACATAGAAAAACTCTAAACCAGTCTCCTAGAGTAGATAAAAAAATCTGAATACGTGTTGCAACAATGTTTCAAGGACTAAAATAGAATAGATAAAGTGAAAATTTAAAATTTATTAACTGTTATCACAAAATTTTAAAAATTATGCCTATGCAATCTATGACTAAAATAATAGACAAGAAAATTGTTCATATTCACCTTCCCCATACCTTTTAAATATAAACATGTTTGTATGCAAATACTGTTTTCCAGAAACTAGATTTCATTAGGATTTTTTTAAATATTAATTGTGACCAGCTATACAAATTTGTCAGACAGGTATTCTGTATCAGAGAGTGGTACTTTCATATTGTTAATTTTTAATACATTAGAAACTGGTCTCTGGTATTTTCCAAAACTGAATTTTCTGTGCAGCTGGTCATTAAAGGGCATGCTGAAGATATAAGAGTGACAACCACGTTGAATTTAACATGAAATAATTAGCATGCATTTGACTTTCAAATATGCTGTAGTATCTAGAGAGTGTTCTTACAGGTTTGCAATATGTAAACACATTTCCCCTTGGGAAAAAGTAATTAGAATTAACACACACTGAGATGACCTGCCCACTTACAATTAGGGTAAGCAACTAAATTACTATTTGTTTTCACACACCAGATCTGACATTTGTAATTGTATATATTTGTTTCCAGTGCCATTTCTGGGTATTGAATTTTGTATTTGCTCTTTTTCAGTCTATCTAGGAACAAACAAAAATTGTAATATGCGTACGCTAGACTAAAGAAGATAAATATAATTTCACCTCTCAAAAAAAGCAGACTAAAGTAACTACAACAGCACATAGCTACATGCTATAAAGAAATTATAAGATAACTTTAAAAACAAACTCTAATGATTATATAGAATCACAGGCCAAAGTCTGCCCTCCAGCAGTCCAAGGTAATAATTCTGCAGACCCCTCTCCTTGCTTTGCTAGGAATCAAAAACTCTTATCATTTTGTGATCCCTGTGCCCAAGATGGCCTTCAACCATCAAATCACTCACCAGTCTCCCTCTGTTTATAGACAGCAGGTCCATCAGGGCACCTCCCCAGGTTGGCTCACTCACCAGCTGTGTCAGGAAGTTATCTTCTACACACTTCAAGAACCACTTACACAGTTTCCTGTCCACTGTACTGTATTTCCAGCAAACATCTGGTAAGCTGAAGTCCCCTACATTAACAAGGGCCAGCAGTTGTGAGACTTCTCCCAGCTGCTCATAGAATATTTTGTCTGCCTCTTCATCCTGGCTGGGTGGTCTACAACATATTCCCACCATGATATCTTCCTTGTTGGCCTATCCCCTGATTCTTAGCCATGAACGCTCAAACCTATCACCATCATCATTAAGCTCTAGATAATGAAAACACTCTTTAACCTACAAGGCTACCCCACCACATCTCTCCTTCCTTGCCTATTCCTTCTGAAGAGTTTGATGTTTATACATAGTAAGAAGTCATAAAGCTGACAGTATGACTGAGAATCAGCTAGAAAAGAAAATGTCAGGAAGTCCATCACCTGAACTCCAAAGAACTTGCAGAGGTAATATAGGCAATAGGTATAATAAACTTATAACATTTATGTTGGAATTATTAATATATATTCATACACATTGCATATAAAAGGACTTTACAGGAAAATGCCAGTGCTGTTGAAGATTGGAGCTTCATCATATATTTATTTTAAAGATAATTGACCAGTTAAAAAATGCATGATATCTCATGATTTTTTGTTTGATGATAAAATGCGTATTTAGAACCAGTTAAGATGAATGCTTGAATTCTTTAAATTCAGAATTGTTTGCATTCTGGTATACTTGTGCACAAGAATTACTTATGTACACGACTGAGCTTGCTATTCACTGTATCATCTAAAGTAAAGGAGACTGTATGACAAATTGAATATTCAAACATGTGACTAAGGGGCTGAAAGAACTGGAATGGTAAGAATGCTGTCGAGCAACTGTGGCTTCCCAAAACCTTGTGGCCCTTCATTTATGAGTGCCAGATGTCTGCATGCTATTGAAACCTGGTTGACTCTTCATAGCCATTCACCAACAAATCACCAAAGTCAGTAGAGAAGTCATAAAAGCAATGGTCTACCTGTGCCCTGGAGCTGACAGGTGTGAACTATATAATGTCAGAACCAGTGTGTCAAAGTAAATATTGGTTTTGTTGCTCTCACTAATATATGGGACACATCAGTTCAGTGAATATTAATCTAATTACTCCTATCCCCAGGAGCAAGGTTTATGGTCATATACTTTGCATGAGAATTCACTAAAGGGCACAGTTAAGATTGCTCAAATGCCTTAATTGCTTCTCAATACCTTAATGTGCTTGGATATTCTCTAATTTAACAATGACTCTGAAGAGTCTGGGTTATAATTCTCACTATAATTGCATCATTCCTGTAACAAAGTTTGTTGTAAATTACGAATATATCCTATTAACCTTGACTTCAATTTAACATCACTGTTGTCTGGAAACTACATCAAGATTTGGGGCCAAGTGCTCAGCTGATGTAAAGCCACTTACCTCCAGCTGAGTCAGCAAAGCTGTGCTGATTTAGATTATATGTTATTTTTCCATCTCTAAACACTGGGCTCAAATAATGACACTAAGCTATACAATAACAGTGTGCACATTACACATATTAATAAAGTTAAAAGAGTTACTGGTTTTCTAGCAATGATTGCCCATCTTGAACTCACCTGTTTTGGGGCAACCATTTTATTGTCATGGCATTGAAATCAATGAAACATTCATAGATACCCAAAACAATATCACTACAGGCACATTATATACTTGTAAATAATGGTAGAATATACCAACATATAGTTAATGTACTCAAGAGTCTTTTAAAATCACCAAATGCTTGGTCACAAAGCAAATAACCTCTCAACAATTTTCATTGTGTATGTTTGTGTTTGTAGTAAACAAAGTACTTCACAGTTAAATGTAGTTGAGAAGGCATCTTTATCACTATTGCCAAGAGGAAATAAAGATGTTTTAGTTTATTTATAAATACTGATGAGAATGTTGATTGTTGGGAAAACTTACTCACTTAAAGAAATTTGATATAAAACCACTTTTATTTTGGTATGATGAGTAGAGACGGCCACAGCAAATCATAATGATAGAAATGACAGAAAAATTGCAGTATAAGATCAAGATTTTAGTTAAACATTTTTTCTGGCTAACAGCTAGAAACAGCTGCTGCATGCAGGCACTCAGTCTAGAAAATTTAGCCTCTCACTCTTTGGTATATGTTTTCATCCAGCAATGACACTATGTGAATGTATTCACAGTAATTAATGGTACATACTTTAAGAATAATAATTCAGGGACTTTTATGTCTTAGAATATATTTTTACTTTGATTTAGTATTTTTAAAAATGCTTTAATCTGTATCAAAAGGGATCAAGAAAAATACTTTCACATATTTTTTCAAAAAGTTAAATTGATGAAATATTTTTTCTCCAAATATATTGATATATATTTCCAAATATACAAATGTATACTTTTATGACTTCATCCCATTAGAAGCCCTGTGGTGACAGCTATGGCAAAGTAGCTAACTTAGAAAAAATGAACAATGACTTAGGATGTTTTTGTACATCCAATGTTTAGGTGGCCCAATGTGATGGCTATTAAAAAAAAATTGTTTTCAAAAAAACCATTTGTTTCACAGAATCACAGAATGAGTAAGGTTGGAAGGGATCACAGTGGGTCATCTGGTCCAATCTTCCTGGTCAGGCAGGGTCATCCTAGAGCACACAGCACAGGATCTCTAGTACAATCTCTCTGGGCAACTTGTTCCAGTGTTTGGTAACCTGCACAGTGAAGTTCTTCCTCATATTCAGGTGGAAATTCCTGTGCATCAATTTCTGCCTGTTGCCTTTTGTCCTTTTGCTCAGCACGACCAAGAAGAGCCTGGCTCCATCCTCTTGGTACCCTCCCTTCAGATATTTACATAGATTGATGAGGTTCCCTCTCAGTTGTCTCTTCTTGAGGCTGAACAGGCCCAGTTCCCTCAGCCTTTCCTCATAAGAGATGCTCCTGTCCCTAATCATCTTTTTAGCTGTCTGCTGGACCTGTTCCAGGAGCTCCACCTCTCTCTTGTGCTGAGGAGCCCAGAACTGGACACAGTAGTCCAGATGTGGCCTCACTAGGAGTGAGTAGAGGGGCAGGATCACCTCCATCTACCTGCGGGCAGTGCTCTTCCTAACACAGCCCAGGATACCATTGGCCTTCCTGGTCAGTAGGACACACTTCTGGCTCATGGACAGCTTGCTGTCCACCCAGACCCCCAAGTCCTTCTCTACAGAGCTGCTTTCCAGCAAGTCAGCCCCCAGCTTGTATTGGTGCTGGGGGTTATTCTTCCCCAGGTAAAGAGCCCTGTACCCTAACTTCTGTGAGTCAAATATTTTCAACATTAATCTGCCATAAAAGTGGAGGCATATAAAGTGCCAGTATCTTTAAAAATTTATCTTATGAATGCCTTTTAATGGTTGCATCAAGTTCATGAAAAAGTTTCCCATTCCAGAAAAGTCATAGATTATGACTCTGTACTGTGTTTTCACATAATTAAGTCACACCGCAAAAGATTTGTCAGATTTCAAGTTACATGAAATTCTTAATAATGAAAGCCCTAAAAAAATTGACAATTTTTGGAAAAAAATTCTGAAGTATGTAAACATAAACAATTTTAAAATTTTATAGAGGAATTAATTATATAACTGATAGAAAAAACCCCAAACAGTCACTTTCAATAAGAAGATTAACTTCAGTCATCTTTTAAAGGAAAAAATTATGATGATTATACATAATGACATATTTGTCATGCCCACAAGCTCATATTTTTTCCAATTTTTAGAAGCATCATCATTGTGAAATGGCAACACTGACTTATAACATAGAAACCTACCTTCCAATAAACTGCATGGCTTCCTTTGTCAGCCTCTGAGTAAGGTTCTCATAGGACAGTGGCTGCTGGATAATCTGATGATTCCTCATTAAGAAGCAGTTTAAGTGTCGAAAATGATAGAAGAAAAATATCAAAACCACAAGTGAAATTGTGATTATTAACAAGCAGTAACAGAATGCTTGGAAAGGTACATTGAGGAGGCCGATGTACCGCGCTATAGCCAAAGAGACAAGGGTGATTCCAGCGATTTGGATTGGGATGATAAGGGCTTTCTGAACCCCTTTTAAAAATACGCTGCCTTGGCCAGGTTTGCAGTCTCTAAAATTGGTCACAGTAAGCCCATAAAAGTAATCAAATCCATGACTGAGGGGGTGGTGACAGAAGTCATTACTGCTTTCACAGTTCATCCCAAGATGCCACTTTCCTACAAAGAGAGAAGGACAGGGGGTGTTTTTGTAGTTAAATCATCAAACTTAGTTTTAATGTGCACTATCCCAAACATGAAACTGTCACTGTCTAACTGCTATCCCCCTGCCACCAGCATCTATTGTGTGGATCCCTATTTTCTATGTAAACTTTCTTTATGCCTTCATCAAAGATTTTGTTTCATGTCTGCCTATTCATCTTATTTAGAAATAGGTTTAGCAGAGCTGCTGCTGAAGAACATTAAATTTTGAGTGGGCTAGCAGGTCACTGAAGAGCAAGAGCCCTAGCAGACAGTTAACTTTGGAAATGAAACTTTTGTGTATGTGTAGTTGTTATAAAAAAATACCATTTTGTAGCAGCTACTGACTGAACAGGAAGAACCAATACAGAGTTACAAAATATCTTCTCTGAAATTTTTCTAGCAAATAATTTGAATAGTTTAAAAAAAGAGAGAAAAGAAGAAGAAAACAGTAACAAACAGGAAATAAAGCAAGAATAGGAAAATTACCAAAGCATTTATTATTTAAATGATTGCAAAAATCTCTGTCAATCGCCCTCACAATATACACAGATATATATGATGAGGGTGATTATTTTGCATCTTTTTATTTTATATATATAAATAAAAAGCCAAACAACAGTAAGAAGTAAATTGCTGCCAAATACTAGCTCTCACAGCATTTTGTCTCACTAGGAAATCACTCTAATTCTGATATAACGTTGGACACTGACTGACACAAAAAACCAGGAGCCTGATTTGCATTATAGTAGTACAATTTATGTTCATGCTGATTACAGTAAGTATCTAGATAATACATTCTATGACTCAGGTATAACCTCTTACCATATGCTTATGCATTGCTTAGCACAACAGACCTAACTGTTTGGAAGCTGTTATTTGAATTCAAATGCATAATTATTAAAAAAACCCAAGAATTCAGTTAAGCCTGTTGAGATAGTTTGGGGATAGAGCTATGCTCTTTACTCTCAGCCAGAAAATGTATTGAATATTTTAAAAAATATGCTGGCCTTGACAAAACAGATAACATTATATATTTCTGGGCCACACTATTTATTTTTCTGAACCAAATATGTAAACATGACCAGCATAATTCTGGGGTTGTCTTGAAGGAAATAAACAAGAAAACCTGAAAACCCAGTAAGTCCTCATTCCCATAACTTAGCCCAAAGAAATTTGAAATATTTGTTCTACAGGCTTCAGAATACACATGGCAGAAAGTACAAAAAAGGAAAAAAATCATACATAGAATTTTCCCCTTTTCCGAACCATGCCAGCTTTTACACATCTGTAAGAAAGAGTGCTGATGCAGACAGTCCTGAACATCTTCTCTTGGGTCTAGAGGACTGCATATTCATTCTGTACTTCTTCCTTTGGCAATGACAAATGCAGGTACTGCAATACCAAAGAGAGGTTCTGCTTTATTTTAAATAGTACCTAGCAACTGGATGTTGCTATTTCTCTTCCACAAATAACAGAATGGAGGTATAGGATGGGAATGTCATGTGCTTAAGTTCATCTCCCAGCAAAGGTGTAAAAAAGTATCACAGAAATTTGACTCTGAGTGTTTAGTTGAGTCCAGTTCTCCTCATACATCTCTTGACAGTCTAAAGTTAGAAATATCTTCTGTATACCATCAAAGCAGGTATAAAACATTTTCAGGTCTGCTTATGTGCCAGTGAAACTAAGGTCTCTATAGCTCTTTCATCCAATCAGAATTTTTCCCTGTCAGATGGCTCCTCACCTGAGGTGGTATTCTGCTTTTTGTGGGCAGAATGGCTCGTCACTACTTTTGACATGGTTCAGTAAAAATTACCATGGTCAATTAAAAAAAAGAGCAGAGCAAACCACTGTACTGACATTTTAGATATTATAATGATGCTATAAAGGGCTAGATAAGGCTGGAACTCTGATTTTCATTCCCAGCATATAAAGACAGATTTTTGAAAAGAAATGCTTCAATGTTTTCTCTCAGTTTTACATGACTGTCTTCATGGAATAATCATAAAGCCAGACATGTAACAAGGTGAGCATGAAAAAACTCTCATCAAGTTAGATAACTGAATTAATGGTAGAGGCTAATGATCATGAATATAAATGACCTTCAAGTTTTAATTTTTCATTTTTTGCTGTTATATGTCAATCTCAAGGCACCTATAATTCAGTAAAAAACTCAAATTAAATACAGCTTCAAGGTCATTTATTATGATATAGAGGGTTTTTTTAAATGGGATCTCAATAAAACTAGATACTGCAAGCCAGGATAGAAGAATCTGGCAATAACAAATTAGGACAAGGTAAAATACAGGTCCTATTTTTATCAAAAGGGTTTTAGCAAGCACAACAAATTGTTCAATGTCAGGTTGAACTTGGGCCTCAAAAAGAGATTTGTTCAGAAGCAACTGAAGCCAAACAAAGCAGAGAGCAAGTTAGTGGGAAAAGCAACAGAAGCTCTGGTTCAAATTATATCGGCAGCTGTGATGGAAAGACAAAATTGCTGTTCTCAAATGGCTGATGAGGTAGAAGGTTCTGATAGATCCTGCACTACTCTGAAAAAGCAAGTGATGACTGGGTCATGTTTTGTTTTATTCCTTGTGACAATAACCCCTGCCTTGAGCTAGTGCTTCAACATATTACTGTAATGTGCTTTACAGTCTGAGGCCCTTCTGAATCTGAGAGCAGCGCAAAATGCTCTCATCCCTTTGCCAAGTGATGCTTCACAGGATGGACACTTCACACAAGCATCATAAGCATTTCAGTAGATTCTACCAAGCTTTTGAGTGAAATTTATGCTTTTAATTGTAAATTATGAGTACCTCAATAATTTGAGACTTAGGCATTTTTCCTTCTCCGTCAGCCACAATTACGATTACTGCAGAGCAAAAGCAATGCAATGAAAGGCAAGTAGAAATGTGAGGCAAGTATTATTCAGCCAAGAAACTTCACTCAGAACTCAGTTTTTCAGAACCCAGAATCCTGGGGATACTACAAAAATCCACGTTTCCTGTCTTTTTGTCCCCTCAGTTGAAAAGGGAGCAATCTGAAGACTGAATTGTATATAATGACATATTTCTTTTGGAATGATGTTATTTTTCAGATAAATGGCAAGAGGCAAGATGTGGAGCAAGATGCAAACAGAAATATTTTATGTGCTCAAAGAAATATATTTATATCAATAATAATAAAAAGTGTATGTGCATATGCTATTACCATGGTCAGATTTTAAGCTGTTTTATGAATAACTACTGCATTCATCCCAATCTCTAGACTCAGTCAATCTTGGATTGGACACCTTACTACTGTAATGTGTCCAAATATTACATCACCTCATTCTGGAAGAAAGAAACAAGTACCAGTTATCAATTAGTTTTTCAACTTTGGAGATAAGATACATAGGTAGATTTTAAACTTCTCTGGATAGCAAATAACACACTGGATAAAAATAGTGAGGAAAAATTAACCTTTTACTCAACTGTAATTGATCATAGTAGTAGTTAAAATAATACTTATCTAAGTGGAATTTTGCATTATGAATAGCTATTTCCTGTAAAACATCATCATTTCTTTCTACTGTTGAAATATCACATATTCTATGCATCTGCTCTTTCTTATAAAACTTGGGGTTTTTGCAGATCTGATTGTGTGTCTTCCTAGCAGATGTATTGGATGTCACCTTCTTTGTGTCACAGGGGAAAACAATAAGGTAGAAAAGTGTATACATAGAGTAGATTTATAGCCAAAATATATTTTGGGATGTATCAAGCAAAAGGAAGCATATATTCAGAGGAGCAAAAAGTATAAAAAGAAGCAAAAATGCATTTAGGGAAGAGAAAAATGTCCTTAGAGAATAAACCAGAGAGCAACTTGGGAGAAAGAAAAAAAAAAAAGAAGTGACATTACAGGTTTGAGGAACTGAAAGGTTTAAAATTACCCTTATGCCAATCCATCACTGGTGCAGGATTTGACAATAATTTGTTTGGGAACTGCTGAGTTAGATTGAACCCAGCAAAGACTCCCTGACCCAGACCAATATGATGTGGTAAGAACACCAGTAGAGGCAGAAAATGGGCTGACTGGGAATCAGACTCTGTCTACCTACTCTTCAAATCTACATAATGTTTCTTTTTTTCATTTACATATGCTTTATCCCTAATTTTAATGCACTTCTTGATTTTTGGAAACCTTCATTATACTCTAAGGATATGGTGATATTACATTTTATGGTCTTATAGCTATCATTCAGGCCACTTGGAAGAACTGTTCATTAAGTATCATGGAGATAACTTCTGGAGATCTAAGTGGCAAGCTGTCATGTTGCAGTGAAAGTAGTTAAAAAAAGAACATTAAGTAGGTCAGCCCCAGAAAATGAGTTATATTACAGTGCTTGTCACAAATAGAAAAAAACCCAGCCTTTAATTGAATATGGAGCAATAGGAATTAACTCCATGAGGAACATGACAAATTATGAATGGCTTTTTTGCACTATGATTCAAATACACCTGCACTAAATATACTTCTGATAAGATTTTCTGGTTTTCTTGTTTGTTTCTGTCAGGACATCATGGTATTTTATCCTTTATAAGAGCAGGATATAGCTAAGTAGGATTTTTAGTTAGGAACACTAACTAAAGTTAGGTTTGTCTACACAATACAGATATTTTTTGAACAGTGGTGTGAATTGTTAGCCTTGCTAAACAGCCTGATTTTTTAAACAAAAATCACTCCCCAAATTACAAGTTTCTGTTTAAAAATCAATTTAAAAAATCAAATTGGATGCATCCTTCATCTAAATTAATTTAGTAATTCCAGTGTTATGTTCTCTGAACAACGATTCCCCGGTAATTCCAGTACAGAAATACATTATGTAATACAAGTTGTAGTCTAAAATATAAGCAGTATGGAATAAGTCATTGGTCAAATTAAAAAACAAAAAAGGGACCAATCTTTAATTTTATACTTTTAGGATATTAATTCCAATTCTATTTAAAATTCACCTAGTGGGATTCCTTTGCCCATCACTGGATATTTATGCTGCAGTTAATTGTCTAAACTGTCTTTACAATGAGAGAGAAATACATTTTTATATTACCTTTCTACTACAGGATAAGAAAACTTTCCTAGAAATGCCCTTTTCTGGTTGATGACCAAGAAAAGAATCCAGGCAGTTATTCCAGGTAATAACTGTCTACTTTATGGATATTTAAAAACTCGTGAAATCAATTGTACCACTGTTCTGACTTGTACCCTGTGATCAACCCCTTATTGTGATCAAACCCTCTGTTGTAATCAAATTCCTATTTATACTGAAAACTTTTCAAGAGCTTGACTAATTTTCAGTTTGTTCATCATGTTTCTCCAGTACCTTGCACAGTGAGACTATAACTACACAAGTGAATTAGACATACTTATAAGATTAGTGTTTCACATAGGCATGGGAATGTGCTCAGCTTTGTGCCAGAAAAATAAATTCATTATGCTGTGGGGGGAAAACGCTTAATGCAAACCCTTAATAGTCTATATGAGAAGCTAATGTTCTTTTGATTTAAATGAATGTAAAAGTGTTGCACATGTGTTGTTGCACAATTTTACCTATTAGAGCGGTTGCATAACCTTTCTGTTTCAGGAGATTGGAAAAAGTTATTTCTTCAGAAGGAAGTCCTCCGGAAGAGGCAGAAAATAAGAAGACACCAACTCGTGAGAAGGCAGCCATTCCTAAATACAATGAAAATTAATGAGACCTGGATAATACAGAGAAACCACTTTCTACATGCACTTTTTTGCTTCAGGTGGTATCACTTAAATGACACATTACAACCAGACATTAAATATTGCAAGTGGTTGATACAATCATCCATTTAGCTGAGTGAGGTCTTCTCTGTATTGACATCAGAAATTGAGAAGTTTAGAAAAAAAAAGTCTCTGCTTATAACCATGGGGCCAGACATGACATAAACAGCTGTATGTCCTTCTGTAGATGTTCTAAGGTTTTTTCAGCAAACCTGAAAAAAGTTGAGCTTGAATAATTTATTTTTCTTGTACCTGGGGTAGGAATGGAACTGAGGACTGAGATCATTGCCAAGTTCTACTCTCCAAATTTCCACTTTCTTCATACATGGTTTTCTATAAGCTTTTAAGGCCATTTAAGAGAAGGTACATTGAAATAAGGCAGTCTTACTACTGGGTATGTAAATATCATGAGGTCAAAAGAGCGAGAGAGAATCTAATTCCGGAAATAGAGCAGCCAGGGCTCTCAGCATTGATGGGAGAGGACCAGCAGTCCAGTGGCACGAAGACACATGATTCAATGCATTCAGAGTGCACTAAAAGAGCATCAGGTATCGGCTAACAAGACAATATCTAAATAAGGCACAGTAATTTCTATATACTGAGAGTCTGAGGAACACAAATGAGCTTATAAGCTACTCTCAGGATGAGGAACTTGAGAGCTCAGGTTCATGAAAATTAGATTACTGGGATTCCAGATGAGAGCTGGCTCTGAAAATAGACAGACAGAACAGAGAATATCTATGCAAATCTGTGTAGATGTATCTTCAGGAAGTCTAAATTATGCAACTGGATGATTGCAGTGCCCAAATTACATGACTGATGTAGACAACCAGAATCTTCAGTCAGGTATCCCTTGTGGTTACATGAGAAAAAGACTTGTTAGACTGGTTTATCAAAGACAACTCAACTTACCCTTCATATGTTGACTTCAGTTTTTTATCCCAGCTATTTTTGTTGATTAACAGTTTAGTTTTAGTCACATATATATATCATTTATTTATATTTAATTTTATGTATTAAAGCTTTTGTAATGGAAATCAGTGTAATTCCCTTAAGCTACAGAAATGAAAGTACAGACTTATCTTTGGGGTTTTTTTTCATCATCACCTTTCTCTGAGTTTGTGTCTCATCAAATACTGCATTTTGGAATCTTTTTCTTCAGCTCTATTAGCAGGAGTTTTAAATTTATAACATTTTTTTCCACATCATGATTCTACTGCCTTGTGTAATAATCCTTTACTAGGTCTTCAGTGATATTTGGAAGTACTCCATATTTAGCCATTTTGTAATTTAAGTAAGAAAAAGTTCAATTTTTGCACCTACGTGGAAATGATCAGTGAAGAAAAAAATTAGAATTTTTCAGAATTAAGAAAATTTTTCAGAAATAAGAACAAGAATTATAATGGAAAGTGACCTGTTGCTTTACCTACAGTAAATATTAATAGCAATATAGCTGTAACAGGTATATGAAATTTTCCTTTGCAGCTGAATGTAATGGAAAATTTAGCAAGTTATATTAGCTGGCACTTTTGCAAAAGCTTGTTACTTGATTTGAATGAGCATGAACGTATCAAGTAGGCTCCAGAGTCTTGCTTTGCTTTCATTCCCAGAAGCAAGGACAGGATGTTTTATCACTAATGAACAAGTGATCTGATTAATGTATAATGATCCTTGCTAAAAATGATGTTAAGGGAATGTTAAAGTTGCATGGCTAAGCACTGAGAGGCTCAGTCCCAGCACACTAAAATAAACAGACTAGATCTTCACTTGCTCAAATGGGCTTTGGATCAGGTATTTGAAAAGTAAGAAAAATTAAATGCATGTATTCATAAGATACTTAACTCTGTATATTGGTAGATACAGAACAAAAATATGCAAAAAGAAGGGAGATTTTTTGCTTTCCTCTTCCCAGTCTTAAGAACAACTTGAATACCTTAATGAGCTGTCCTGCCCCCAACCTTCCCCCCACCAAAACAACAAGAAAAACAAAAAAACCCCCAAAAGGTAAACCCTACAACTTGTCTAAACCAAAAGGTTTTGTAGAAATCGAAATGTCTGAGTGGAAGCATTTACACGGGATTCTTCCGTTGCGTCTTTCTAGATGCATCTCTGTGATGTCCAGCACTTGGGCTGCCCACCAACATACTGGGAGCAGCCTGAATGCAACTAGGGAGGCAGGCAAAGAGAGAATTGCATAGTGGTCATTGAATACTGGAGGAAGTTGATGGATTTTGCGGACAGATGGACTGCTCCTTACATTAAATAACCACAGTCAAATCTTTTTCTCGGTATTTAAACAAAAAAATATTTTACTCACTAAAAAGACTTTATTTTTTCTGTCAACTCTTCTCAAATGCAAAAATTTGCCATATATATGAAATATTTCAAAAGCATACCAACTCTTGATGAGCTTGATCAGTAAGCGGAAAGACTGATCATTTATCCTCACCTAACTTGGTAATGATAAAGATATCAAGAAAGGTCAGACAAAAAAAAACCTGCATAGAGTTTACTGTAAATAAAATATGATACTTATATACAAATAAAGTAATGGGGTTTTACCTGATCTTATAGGATATCTCCCTGTCAGGAAAGCTGCCCTGCTTGGAGTGCAAAGTGGGGCTGCTGCTATATGCTGAGTAAGCGTCACTCCTTCCTCTGCTAGCCTGTCAATATTAGGGGTTCTGGAGAAACATAAGTAGGAAAAAAAAAAAGAATACACAAAAATTATTATTTGGAAACAGTTATGGTGAGATCAAGACATCTTAGGCAAGAACTATTAAGGAAATCAAGTTCAGACTCACCGTATGTAAATTATCAAAACCATGATGGGGTTGCAGTTCTAAATACTATCATGTCAAATATTTTTACTTTAGGTAAAACACTGAACTGAGACACTGTGCCACTATGCCAAAAATCTTTTTTCCCACTTTCATCTACTCTTCATGGCCAATACTAAATTGTTACACCTAGACATATTGCATTGCAACCCTTTTTAATGGATTCCTTGACCCAGAACTGTAATTTTGCAACCTTTCTGCTTCAGCAATGGGGAAAAACAGAGACTGGAGAAAGGTTGTGCTTCCTTACTCCCTACTTGGTGTCACATCTGTCTCTCCCCAGTAAAAGGTTTTTGGGATAGGGATAATGTTGTATGGTGCTATCAGTTAATAGAGGAGATTCAAAAAATTACAACTCTGTGTTACACTTTATATTAATGGTATCTACATGTCTGACATGATTATGTCTGCAATTTTAGAGCCAGGGGCACAACCAAGTTCCCATATCTGCCTGGGAAACCTGTCTATGACCTGGCTCATCATGCAGATGAAAATTGGTTCCTGCAGGAAGAAATCCTGTGTCCTCGGTTCTACAGATAAAAATTACTAATGCAGACTGGCCAGGAGCTGCAGCATGCTCTAATAGCTCTCTGACCCAGGAGATTAATGACCATGACCTCAAGGCATACTAGTGCTCCTATCATCTAAGTCTGAATAGTCAGAAACATTAATTTTCCAACTGACTTATTTGCTATCAGTAGCATCACCTACTAATAACAACCAGTATGATGAAATTTCTTCATATTCCAAAGATCTAATTCTGAATTGTCACATCAGAGAACATAGATCTTGGAGTCATTCTGTACCCTGTGATGGGAGTAATTCGAGCATCAGTATTGTACATAATTGTTTCCTGTTTAAAACTAGAATCTGTAACTTTATTTTCTTTTTTCAGTTATGAGGAGGTTTTACTTCTAACTAACATCAGCAGGAACAAGAGCATTTAACATTTGACAGGACAGTGCTTTTAGTCTGAATGTTTTATTTAACTTTGTCAAAGCCTTTGCACCACAAACAAAATGACTAGGTACCACTTTCTCTGTTTACAAAATCAGCACACCTAAGTTAGTAATAAGGAACATTCCGGGGAACATTGCTGCATTATTCAGGCATATTAACATTTGTTTTAATGAATATATTGATTACTGTATGAAGATAAATTAATGAAAAACATTTACAATTGGTTAACAACAAGCTTGTCTCAAATCATGAGTGCTTCAAAATATGCTTAATTCATCGTAACTGTGTCATGTATATTTTAAAAGAAAACTGGTGACTATACTTTGCTTCCCTAGAGCTACCCTTATTTGGTTGGTTGCTCAATTCTCTGTTTATAATGCAACTCTTCAGCAGGATAAACACATCAGATAAGTCTTTTGTCAAGAAAAGAAAACAAAGATTGAAGATGTTATTCTCTGGAAAAATTATTAACTTTGATTACTTATAAAAAGCCTAATCAAATCTCTAAATGTTCTGGCATTTTTAACTTTAAAAATCCATAGAAAAACTAAATACAAACCTGTGACTCCCCTAAATTATCAACATACCTTAAGGTTTTGTTCCCATAACATCCCAGGTCTCCAATACCAAGATCATCAGCCATCAGCAAAATGATATTGGGATTTGAAGCACTGTGTGTTTTGACACTGTTTATGGCATACTGACAAATTATTAGAAGTAAAAGGGGTCCCATCTTCTTCCTGGTGTGTAAGAAGAGGTGGAAAATATAATAAATAGACACCTTTTAAAAAAAAATTACTTTTAATCTAATTTTGTCCTATTATTGACCTTTGTATAGCAAAAGACAAAAAGAAAGATTGAGTATTTTTATTTGGCTTTTTTTTCTCAGGGTTTTCTTTAACATTTTCTATTTCATAGTTCTTAAAATAAAAATGCATCTTTTAGTATATAGCTAATTTTTCCTTCTACCTCTTTACAGAGATGAAGCCTTTAAATAAAGACAAACAAAGAACTAGCTACAACCTCAGTGACAATCTTGCATACACAGATGCACTGCACAGCAATAAATCATAACAGCAAGCAAAACTTGGGATTTTTTGTCATTTTTGTGGGGGGGTTCTAGGTCCAAATGTGATTTGAGGAACATAGAATCTGAAATCATTTAGGACCAAAATTTCCAAGGCTCATTGCAGGAAAAAAGTGCTATATCCAAACTAAAATGGGAAGAAGAATGTATTGTACACAATACAACATACAATAATATGCCTTTATGATAAAAGCGGAGTATTTGCAGATGTGCATGCTATGAATGCTACTTTACCTCAAGAGGGACTTGTCACATCTGTTTTAAACTGCATTGACTATGCCCTGTCTGAAACTGAGTGCCTGTAGGCTGTAATGGACCATGCCAGATATATACATCAAAAAGAACAAACTCTATTTCTCTCTCTCTTTTGTGTCTGCTTATACTCCCATCTTTTCTGGATGTAGGTAGCCTTTTTCAAATGCAGATGAGGTATGAGTCACACCTGTACTCTGGATTATGCTGGGACAAGAAATAAAGTGGAAGAAACTAGGACTGAGGTAGAAATTTGAAAGTGAAAGAGTAGAAAAAGGAACTAGAAACAAGAATTTCCAGAGAGAATGGGGACAGCAGGTCAAGAAAAAAATCTTGAAAATCAATGAGTTATGGTAGATAAAAGTAACTGGAGAGAAGATAAAGAAGCCAGAAGTGAAAGAGCTAGTACAAAAAGACTAGACATCAAGGGAGGCAGATTCATAAATCAGTGAGGTGGGTAAAAGTATTTGTATAGAAGACAAAGTAGTCTGAACTAGAAGAGCTTTTACTGACTTGAATAGCAAGAATAGAAGTTGAGACCCAGCTGAAATGAGAATTGCAGCCTGAAATAAGGAGAAATCGGAGAAGAATAAAGAAACTGAAATGAATAGTATCACAGTGAATAGAAAAACAAAACTGAGGAAAAGAGGTGAGAGAACTGGGAGCATTTGGGATGAAAGATCTGAGGAGTTATGATTAAGGTCAATGAAGAAAACTTAGTGGAAAGACCTTGGGAAGATAAGACTTGGGACTAACATAAGTGAGAAGAGATCAAAATAGTGGGGATCAACCAACACAGACTGGGACTTCTGATTCCCAACCTTCATTATTGGCATTCTGTCAGAAAGTATAGGTGTGAAGAGGATTTTAACTCTTTTAGTAGTTCTCCACATACAGATAAAACAGTAGTAAGTGTATTAGCTATTTTATTTTACTGCTTAAGGTAGACTTTATAACTCATTCACCTCACTTTGGTGAGAACAGTTCTGGTTTAGACTTCAGCTGGCAACATCTTGTCACTGCAGCAACAGATCATTACCTGCTTTACCCCATGGGAAGCAATCTACTTCATTTCAGACATGGAAATACATACACAAACTTTCTACTAAAACACTGAATGCATTTTTGTTGGGCGGGATGCATTTAACTACCCCTTCATCAAATAACCGTACTAATGAAGTTGTGTAATGCCTGCCATGTCACAGACTTTTAATCTGCACTGTAGATGCACCTTTCTTTCCTGTAAGGATAAACAAGAGTGATTTGCTTCCCAGTCAAAAATAATGTTATTAAAAGTTGTCTCTGATACTCCTCCACTCTGAAGATGCTGTAAACTCTCACACGCTGAGCTATTTGCCTTCAACTGATATCATGTCCCTGAAGTGAAATCAAGAAGGAAACAGGAAAAAGAAAATAATCCTAACAACTATGATTTCTCTGGTGTACTCTCTCTGCAGCAGATATTCATGTGTCTTGAAAGGATGTGAAGGGAAAGCAAGAAAAATCAGATGGATGAAATTGAGTGGAACAGACAACAGCAAAGAAACTCAAAGGAGCAAAAAGGGAATGGCATGAGAAGAATGAAGCTCTGAGAATGCTGAGGGCCATCTGTGCCACACCAGGGTTTGTACTGGTGAAGAGACAGGCATGTGCAGACCTAACATGAAAATGATGACATCAAATCAGATGAAGCTTCCACTTAACCTCGTATTTCCTCTCTGTCCACAGACAATTCAAACGCTTAAGGAAAGAATGAAAAAAACTTGGCAAATTAATTATTTTACTAGTACACCCTTCTAGCTTTTGGCAGTTACCATTAAAGGTATTTTTGACAGGACAGCATTGTGCTGTATACCTCTCCATGGATCTTTCAATCTTCATGAATTTGCTACAGTCTATTTTGAATCAATTAACTTTTGTTTTGGTTTGGTTTTTTGCATTGAACGAATTTGATTTTTTTTTTTACTTCCACGACTTTAGATGTTCCTGTAGGAGGCATCAGCTTTGAAGGCTTGTGTTTTATACTCAAGTGGCAACATTTTTCCTTTTTTTTTTGCATGCAGGACACATAAGTGCGATTTTTAACCTTTGCTTCTCTTTCCCTGTGATATAATAGAACTAAAAGTAGTATCTTTCTTTTCAAGTTGGCTGCAAAGCTGAATTGGTTTAAGAGGTGCTTAATCTCCTACAACAAGAGCCATATAAAAATTTGTATTTCACACACCCTATTTCAACCTACAATACTTTAAGCACTGTATATGAACTTATAGACATGACTACATACATACATGTGTCAATATGCACATATATACATGTACATGGGGAAAACACACACATCTTACTTTTTCTACATATCTTCAAATTACATTTTTGTGATTCTAACACATATTTTCTATTTGTATTAAAAACCAAAGTATAAATGTGTAAGAGCAAATGGATGAAAATAAAAACACAGATATAATCCACTATTTCTTGATATTTGTTTGCTTGGGACTTTTTTCCACAAGATAACTGACTCAAGACATGGTTATCATATAATCACAGAACACCCTGAGTTGGAAGGGTCCCACTAGGATCCAAGTCCAACTCCTGGCCCTGCACAGGACAGTCCCAAGAATCACACCATGTACCTGAGAGTATTGTCCAAACACTTCTTGAACTCTGGCAGGCTTGGTACTGTGACCACTTCCCTGAGGAACCTGTTCCAGTGCCCAGTCACCCTCTGGGTGAAGAACCTTTTCCTAATATCCAACCTAAACCTTGGTCACCACAGAGAAGAGATCAGTTCCTGCCCCTCCTCTTCCCCTCACGAGGAAGTTGTAGACTGCGACAAGGTCTCCCCTCAGTCTCCTCTTCTCTAGGTTGAACAGACCAAACGACCTCAGCTGCTCCTCACACGGCTTCCCCTTAAGGCCCTTCACCATCTTCGTTGCCCTCCTCTGGACACTCTCTAACAGCTTAATGTCTTTCTTATATTGCACTGCCCAAAACTGCACACAATATTCAGGTGAGGCTGCCCCAGTGCAGAGCAGAGCAGGACAATCCCCTCCCTAGACTGGCTGGCGATGCTTTGCCTGATGCCCCCCAGGACATGGTTGGCCCTCCTGGCTGCCAGGGTACTGCTGACTCATATTCAACTTGCCATCAACCAGGACCCCCAGATCGCTTTCTACAGCACTGTTCTCCAGCCTCGTTTCCTAGTCTATACACACAACCAGGGTTACCCCATCCCAGGTACAGAATCTGGCACTTGCCCTTGTTAAATTTCATACGACTGGTAATTGTCCATCTCTCTAATTTTTTTAAGTCTCTCTGCAGGGCCTCTCTGCCCTTGAAGGAGTCAACAGTTCCAGACAATTTAGCATCATTAGCAAACTTACTTGGTATATTTTCCAGTCCCGCATTGTTCATGAAGATGTTGAAGAGTACAGGGCTAAAGATGGAAGCCTGTGGAACTGCAGGTGACTGACAAGTCACCAGTCTGATGCTACCCCATTTACTATAACGCTTTGCACCTGATCCATCAGCCAATTGCTCACCCGTTGCACGACATGTTGACCCAATAGGACAGGAACAGCTAGATAATCGTTATCCCGTTTACTACAGGCAAATGCATCTCTTACAAGAACAACTATATGAAACTCTTTCAAACATCTCTTCCCAACTGAATCATCTCAGCATTTTTATTAAGTTTGATTAAGCAATTTATCTCTAAACTACTCTTTTAATGTAACAGAGCCCTTTGAGAAAATGCTTAATATACTTTATCCTTGAAGGTATAGTATTTTTCTGATGAAATAAGCAACATTTAAAGATATTGACCTCATTAAAAAATGCTGTGCTATCCTTAAGCACTATGCAAAAAAAAAAGTATCTTACTTAATTGAATGCTAGAACTTAAAAAATTTCTGTAAGTCATAAAAATCACTGTAAACAAACTAAAGACAACTCTGCTCTCCACAAGATTTTGCAAAGAGAAAATTCCTCAGCTTAATGAGAAAAAAATAAGTTTTTAAATTTAAGAAATGGTAAAGTAATATTATATGCTATTAATAATTTTCTGGTATCAGCTTAAGATTGGCTCATATCTCTCAATTAATTCCTCTCTTACAAGCCAGTAATATCTGTTACATCTTTGATGTAATAGAACTGCTTTTCTGAAATTTTCAATTAGATTTCAGTATGCATATTTAGGTAACTATGTACATAAATGAAAATCTGTATTCAATTTATTAAAAGTTGTCTCACTGTAAGACAGAAATTTCACGTAACATGAGCTGGGACAAACATCAGAACAAATAATCATGTTTCTTGTTCAAGCTTATTAATTATTGGGTCTGAATCAAATAGAGATGAAACCACAGAGCCTCTATCAGATCTAAGTTCAGTCTAGGTGTCTTT